GCAGATTCAGTTGAGGAGATAGTTACCTTCCAGTGAATAAAATTAATTTGGGTGCAAGTTCGAAGACTCGGAAAGTTTGGAAGGGAGTCACGACATTCCGGCGCTTACTCCATCTGATCTTTTCTTTTCACCTTCTCTCAGCTATAACTTGAACGGTCCTTCAGTCAACCTCGTCTCGCATTGTTGCCCCACGATAATTTCAAGAGTAAAACCGTGCTGGATACTGGATGTGATGAAGGATGGTCACTTGTGAAATCGGTGAGTGCTTTCAGCGTATTTTTCAATTGCAATGCTAATACAAACCTGGAAATCGCTATTCTAGGACATTCATGGGGTGCACACAAAGTCGTCGGGACGACACGCTCATTTGGAAAAAGCGCCAAGTGGTCTGGTTGCTTCAAAGCCTCAGAAGAACCCAACAGACGTGTTTGGAGGCAAAGGCGGAGATTTGATCGTGACTTGGGCACCACAACGATCCACGATCCACAATTTAGCCAACTCTTACTGCAACACTCTTTTCGGTTCTCTTCCTATTCCTCCTTCGAAAATACACGGAAAATACTTGTTGTTCCGTCATAATGTGTCTTTACGGCCGATTAGACCAAAGAGTTGATTGTGGAGGATACAGATGGATATGATGTTGTCGTTGCGTAAGTCTCAACCTCTCCCACTCTCTCCTATCCTTCTAACGTGTATGACTAGGAAATGAAGGCCTCTACGTGTTCTTCCAACGCATCTATTCCGTTCTCAAGCCAAGAGGCGTGCTGGATCTAAATCCGCAAGAATGGGACACGTACAAAAAGGTCGGAAGGTTGAACGAGGTCTGTATCCCGTTAATATTACTCTTCTGGTGTTACTGACATCTCAACTGCAGCCGCTCACCTCAACATCACAACACTTGTTTGATATAGACATGCCAAGCCGGGTGGGTTGTGGCATTGATGCAGCAATGAATAGTCGTTAATCCCTCACACTGCCAATAATTCGGCTAATATCGTGAGTTAAATACTATAAGAAGTCTGGCCGTACAGTGCGCATTACAAAGTTTTGTGCAGCCACGCTTTCCTAGCGTGACTACCGGCAGACTTTCGCTGTGCCAGTAACTGTTGCTTCCGCCTCTCAGCATGTTGCGCCTATCTTGTTACCCAAGGTCAAGTACTTTCGTCGCATAGGTGCTTGTTCATTCAGAGTTTTATAAAGAAGTTTTTTTCCTGACGTATTTACATACAAGAACAAATACTACACAGGCACTGCTTCACCGTTGGCACCTGTATGTCTTTTCTTTCATGTCACACCATCCTTTCGCTGCTTCCATTTCCTCTCCTTTGCATGAATGACTTCTCTGTTCGCATCTGAGACCGCATATGAGTTTATAATGAAAGCAGGTACCCAGAGGAAATTGGACATTGGGCATGCTTGAGATGCATAGAGCTATGGGCCAAGGATCTCGGATACTGCTTGTGCCGCTCGACGCAGCCTAGGTGATATCAACATGCACCTAAGAAGCCTTATACTTGCACACCCGCCTGTACTACTCAGTAGATTGGCATATGTATTTCTGACAGGACCTCGGTTTCAGCGAAGACAGTGGATTTTCAGACTTTTTCTTTATTCTCAAAGCAATTCGTGCAAATCTAGTTGGAGGAAGATCATCGAATATAGATGCTTTGTTGCCAGATTCTACACTGACAATTCGCTGAGACCGTTTGCGTTAGAGTACAACTTTGAGCCTCCCTGGAAAGTTTTCGCTTATTGCTTCGAAAGATTACCCAAAAAAAACTGTAAACACAAAGTCAAAGGTACTACAGCGAACGTAGAACTATCTTATTTTGAAGCAAGAAAATCCGTGGGAACTTTCGTAAGAACACCCGCCCGTTCGCGTCGGGATGCATAACTTTACCTGCCATTGAGCTTCCTTAGGTACCATAGCCATTAAATACAGGCGCATTATGTTAAATAGATGAATAAGTGTACTTCTTACCTCGCTGTAAAGTAATTTTTTTGGAACCTCCAGCTAGAACGTCTCTGCTCGTTGGGGGGGCAAATAAGTAGATGCACCTCAGAACCATTCCTTCAAGACAGATGAAAGTGTAAATAATAGAGTATCAGAAGCATATTTTTTTATTCGTTGTCAAATCCAACTTTGCTAAGCACCACATGGGAATGTTGCGTGAGTAGTGGTCTCGAAAGGTTGTAGAAATTGAGTTTTCGGGGGCATTTTCCAGCGATCAAATGCGCCTATAGAAGATATTGTGGTGCACGAAGTATTGCCTCATGTATATCTACAATATAGTGCTCTTTTATTTTTTGGTCAAATTTTTTGGCTGGTAGATGCAGTGAAGATAAGTAACTTTCGAAGCTGGAGTTTGTCTTAAACCTCGAACAAGCTCTAACTCTTTGGCATTCAGTTCGATGCAGATAAAAGTACCTATACGGGCTAATTACATATAATACAACATACTCATGCTGCGAGAATAGTAAAAAATGTTATGGATCAAGTGTCCTCAATGTTTCTAGCGGTGGACTCGAACTTCGGGATCGCGGGCCGTGGCCTGTTTTATAAACCTCGAGTACGAAATTTGTGCTTCCAGCTTATAGTACAACAAGTTGTGATATAAACAACAACTAAGTTACATTTCCTGGACTATGCATGTTGTCTAAGTTCTTAAGAGTACGGAACAAGCCCAATCCCATCTCCCAATGGCAAGCTTTTCCTTAAGCCTCCTCAGCTGTTCTCGCAGCCTTGTCCTTACCTTTGGTCTGAAGCCCGTGGTCCACCCAGCGAAAGTTCCTGCCGAATGAGTATTGTGTGAATGAGTGCCGCTACCTACGGAAGTGCTATGATGTCAACAGACTCCGGCACGAGCTACCCCAACATTGAGCTGCCCAGGCGGCTGCTTGGCAGTGAAATGCTTGTTAGATGTCCGCTTTGACTGCACAAAGTACTCACCCAGGCCGCACCTTGATAACTTATTAACTAGTGAGCCTCCAATGTTGGTGCGTGTTTACCTCTGATGCCTTCATCCAGCATTCCAACATAAGACGTTGGGGCGTCAGTGAGAATGTGAATTGGAAAGCTGCGTTGTTCAAAACAAACATTGACCAGGATTCTGGCACGCAGAGATGTTGTCAGCAGTCTTCAGTAGTGCCTCTTGTCTCCGCCTCTTCAACACTTCTTACCTTCCCTTGCAGCTCCTTTCGGACAAGCCTTCCGGTGCCTTGACGCTGGTCTGATGGGAATGAACAAGGGAGTAGTGGAGGCTAAAAGAGCGGTGAGGATAGAGGTGATGAGTGAGCCAAAGATGGAAGTGGCGGAAAGGAAGATCCAGAGTCGACATCTTCATTGTCCAAGTACTTGAAAGAGCCTTTTATCTTCGATAGCTTGGGAAAGAGGCGCCGAGGCCTGAGGAGAAGTGGAGTTTGCTCTGGGACGCATAGGCCGAGGCTGCCAAGGTTGAGAAATGTAACTGATCAGAGGAAGCGACACGTCAAGGTAAAACTTGCGTTCGCAGCCCTGCTCTCATATTCCAGGTATGTAGGTACAGAAGAGAGGCAGTATCTCTACGTGTCTCTGAAGAGCAAAAAAAAAAAAAAATGCCCACAAACGCGCCCCCAAGGTCAATAACGTGAAGGCTCTTCCTATCTTTTCGAATTTCCGTTGCGCGAATACTCAAAAGGAGCAGGAGAGCCTCGCTAATTGCATCCAATGCAGCGATTGCAAAGAAGTGAAACAAAGAAGAAAGAGGCTCACCGCTGGGCAATTTGAATTTGGTTCATGGTTCGAAGTTGCGTTCGTCTCTTAAGCGCGATGCCGATGGCGGGATTGCTGTTTTGCTGGTCATATGATGTCCTTCTTTATATGTATTTAGCTCACAGTATTGGCCGAATTATTGGCAGTATGAGGGAATTAGGCTAGTTGATTGCTACATCAATGCCACACCCCACCCCGCTTGGCATGCCTATATTGACTAAGTGTTGTGATGTTGAGGTGCAGCCGCTAAAAAGCAACATCCTAAATCTCAAGTTGAGGCCTAGCGATTTCGTGTCTCGATTTCGTGTCTATTCTCAGATCAGTATGATTTGGGCACGAGCACCATCTAGGTCCCATTGGAGCAACATTGGAGAGGGAGGTAAGTGATCAGAGAATAACTGCCAATTCCAGGCGTCCAACAAATTTGTTTGCAGGATTTTGCCGAATGGTTGATCTATATGTCAAAATATGGCGACGGCTAGGAAAGAACTCGAAGTTGGGAACATCTGGGATCGTTGTAGATGGGGTTGGAAGGACCCACTGTAGCGGTTAACCTTTGTGGATACGCATATCAAGAATCTTGTTTGGTAAACAAAACCCTTCGTGCCCATCATCTCGGTCGACTTGAACACAAAAAAGACGTCCCACACGGTAGCGCCTTTCGTTTCCGCGGCTGAATTTCCCCTCTTCGTTTAATTATGCTCAGCTTGGGCCAGAACTCCTGCGTCGCATGGGTCAATGCAGGCGATATGCTAGGCGGTTCCGATATGGTACAGCTCTCTGTTTAACCTGATCCTTTTAGCCCAAGGATTCCGTGTAAAATCGCATAGTCAGTAATCGGAGTTAATTTTACTTCATGTTGTGAGCTTTTCCTTGAGCAGCATTAAAATTCCACATCCATAACCAGTCTATAACTGTCCCCCGATTTAACATAAAACTGTTTTAGTTGTGAATTTTGAGCCTCGAACAGAAACATTCCAAAGATTTTGTTGAACGGTTATTTTAAATCTCAAGGCATGGTGACAGCTACGAAAGAATATCGAAGCTAAGGAGAACCAGTTGCTTACTTGGTGGAGATTCAAATACGTGGTAAGGACGACGGCACCTGTTGTAGTTATGCACATCGATAGATATTATATGCTAATGAGAATCCTCGGCTACAGATCGCGAGCATTAGACTTGCATATGTGCTAGCTAGGTATTGAAAAACAGGAAAAACAAAAAAATTGCCGATCTTAGAAGTGGGGTATACACCGTTCGGGAATCGAACCCGAGCCGCTTGCTATGCATCAGAGGCTGTCAATTTGGAATGCATGGAAGGCAAGCATGATAACCACTTCACCAACGGTGTCTACTTACAATTCGTGAGGTATGTACTCTGGCAAGATTAAGCGCTACTCAAAGAGGAATTGCCACTGTTCCTTGCTTTTTACGACCACAAGCGATAGATAGGTCTACCGTCTTCGTACCTCCAAATAAGCTGCAAGTTCAAACTTACACGTCACGCGTCAACGCGTCATTCTTCACTAGCACTCAGCGTAGTTGGGCAAGAAGGCAGAGTTGTTCTATGGATAGCGACACTCTTTCAGATGAGTCAACTGTTCCATCATTGACATCGGTTATCTGACTGGTTTTCACTCAACACTCCCGTGAATATTTATGATAAAAAGATCATCGTCAAACCCTGTCAAAGGACGCGTCGAAATCCGAAACCAGTAGTCCGTAACTCTGACGCGTAAAAACGTTGATGATGATGTGTTCATTGCCACCAATTAGACACTCTCTCAAGTATGCATCCAATTGGCTCGCGCATACGTTGTACCTCCTCCTTACATCTCGAATCATTGATATCTCAGCCCGAGCTCATACAACTTTTCTAGATCGCCCGCAATTGTTACTACCTCCACAAAGGGGCTATCCCGGACTGCTTTACTACACACAAGACAGAAGAGTTTGCTGCCGAGACCATATGAGTAGACATCATCGACTTTGATTATGGACAAAACTATCGCGCCGCCGCAGAAATCGAAGCTTTAGCCTATGACAGGAGAATGGGTTACATCTTGAAGCCAAGGCGTTCGGTGAGTCGCTTTTTTTTCTCATCAAGTTATCCAGGCCTCATTAACATTTCTGACCAGCTTCTTCATTCCGAAACCGCCACCTACTTGACAAAAACTACCATTCTCCCTCTCTTCGCTTAGAATCAAGATATGCGCTCTTCCAAACTCTGATCTGGTCAATCAACCCATCAGCCCCGTTACTGTAAACAAATCAGGTCACCTAGCACCAGAACACATACACGGACTGCTTCGATCAACATCCTGACTATGTTGGAACAGCAAAGCAGCGACAAGCGGATACTATGACATGGAACGGACTGCGCCGTGTGGATGCCCGTGTATGGGAATACCGTGCAGAAGTAGATGGAGAGTCGAGACCGTTTTGAGCTACTGACCGCTTCTGACTGGTATGTACGGGCCATTGTCACTTTTTTCTGATAGTAACGTTTCCACTTCTTTATCCAAAGTTACAACTGACACCGAACCACGGTAACTCGGACTCAAAAGACCTGGTATCGACAATCCTTAGTACAAGAATGAAAAAAACCGCGGTCGGACTGACGGTAAATATGCGTACGCGACCGATGCAGTTGCGCAAGACAAGAGAAGTCCTGCACGGTGCCGGCTGGGAACGTCCTCATCGATATCCTTCGCAACCGCTCTTTCGCAAACTAGATATACCACTTAGTCTGTACACAACCTCGTCCGATATGGTGTAATGGCACAATATATTTATTTCAATCATTTGAACTTCACGATGGTCTGGGGTTCGATTCCCTGTAGTCGGTTACATGAGTTACCAAGTTGAAGCTGAACCCCGTATCTTTTTGGTCTTGACACTTTTTACTTTGTTGCTTTCATATTAGTGTTGCAACGGCTCGGCTCGGCTTGGCTATGGCTCGGCTCCGGCTTGATCCAGATGGCTTTGGCTCAATGAGCCAAAATCAGTATATGGCTCGGCTCAAGCTCGGCTAGCTAGCGGCTTAGCCATTGGCTTGAGCCGTTTTTTTCTGCAAAAAATCATCTTATAGTATCAGTAGACTACTATGTACGTTGTTGAGCTATATATGTGCCTGTCATTGTGTATCATGGTCTCGAACACTTTCTGAGCTTCAGGTACATGTCACTGCACCTCAAGGATTGTCTCCAGCTCTAGGTGTCATGACTGGCATTGACAAATGATGTTCAGTCCATGGTATCATCATGACAACTTGCGAGCTTCAGCATCTGCAAAGCTTGAAACATTAGTGGTGAAAGCATACTTTGGCTTACAGTCATTGTTTCATTTTAAGATGAAAGCACCTGCTCACAAGGCACAGCAGAACTCTGTAGCAAGCTCTGTAGTAGTGGTATAGTATCCTTGGAAAGTTTGAACAACGCAGGTTTTGTTTTCCTGATAAGCTTTTCAATTTGTAACACCATAAGGACTAGGGATCCGCACCGTATAATTTACGGTATATGGTAGGACCATAACCGTAACCGTAAAGAGATACAAAAAGCCTCTTACGGTTACGGTTACGGGTATTATACAGTAATTTTACGGTATACGGCCGTATAAAAAATCTCTAAGACCTAAAACTTGAATTTTACACATCTATATTAACTTTAAATGCATACTCAAGAGTCTTATATTGATTATTGTATAGTATCAGCACACAAACGGTCTCTGCCTTCAAACAGAGGACCACCTCAACAATAAGCATATTAATTCCCACAGTGATTTGATCTCGTGACAGAAGCTTATACCAGTTTTTCTGACGCTGAGGGCTCGATCTCAGAACGTAGAAAATTTTTTTCCAACTGGAATACCGTTGGTGGCATCCACATGAATAATAAGACAGTCAGACAACCTCCTTGCCATTCTTGGCCTTCTGAGTATTTTTACGGGCCGTATGGTACCTGTATACAGCCGTAAATATACGGTCAGTATACGGTATACGGCAGTACCGTAACCGTAACCGTAAAATAGCTTTGCAAGCCTTATACGGTACGGTTACGGGTACCCATAAAACTGTAACCGTAAACCGTATTATACGGTTACGGTGCGGATACCTAATAAGGACTCCATTTACCTGCAAGTAAATAAATGTTATAGTTGCAAATGTGGGATCTGGTTAATATTGGCTTGATATGCGTTGCCTTCAACAAGTCATGCTTCTGGTTGGTAAGTCTAGTAATCACTGTGGAGAGTTCTTGTTGATAGAAGTCACTTAAAGAAGATGCAAGAGAGGACAGGCAGTCTATCATCAGACTGTAGATAATGTTAGACCATTGTACTTAGCTGAAAGTCTCAGTATTACTGTGGCAGCCATAAATATCAAAGGAATGTACAATAAGTAGAGATGTCCACGAGTCCGGATCCAAGTATACTTGGATCCGGAGCGCAAGTACTTGTGGCCTAAAAGGCCTGACTCATGACCCGCGGCTGACTCGTGGGAAACGGGTCACTGACTCGCAAGTATTACTTGCGGGTCTCACAAGTACCTGTGGATCCGCGCACTAATCAAGTAGTTACAGCTATATTCACAAGTATTTACCATTATTTACTTGCATACAGTGATTGTACAGTGTATAATGCTATTAAAACCTGTACTTTACTTGTTACACTAATTTCATACTATGGTATGAAGTAAAAATGTACTGACAGTTAGGCTTTGGATTGTAGACAGCCTACGGCGATTGGGCGCTAAAATAAGCGCTCAGTCGCTGTGAGCTGTCTACAACCTCAAACATGTGTGGCAGTACTTGATAAGTACTATAATAAATATGATACTATTAATTACTGTAAGTTTTGATCACCAACAACAAATATATGAGTTCATATTGCTTGCACAAGTCACACAAGTACTTGCAAGTCAACCGAAAATTGCAAATGTCTGACTTGTGACCTGCGCCTGACCCGTGGGAAACAGATCCTGGGATCCGCGAGTCACATACTTGCGGGTTTTCCCACGGATCTTACCTGCGAGTACTTGTGAAGACTTGGACTCGTGGACATCTCTAACAATAAGTAAAGCATCAAAAATCCTTTGGAGAGGACAGAGAGCCAGGGAGATATGTAGCTAAGACAAAAGCTAAGATACTAGGAGTCCCATACTTATGACAATAATATCATAGTCCATAGTACCTCAAGTATGCAATATCCAATATTAGTATCAAATAGTCCTGAGCTTGCACTGTGTACTGTGAAGCAAGTACCATGTGGGATTGATGTAGGAACCTTACTGTTGTGCTACCCTGCTATTTTTTTGTTTAATGACATTTTTTTTGCGGTAGGTTGCTGTACCCAGACTAGGATTACTAGTTACTTATGATGGCTCATACTACAGTGCAAAGGTATGCGCCGATGATTCATCACTGGCGGCTGGCCGTGCAAATTAGATTATCCCACTGGACAAGCAAAATTGGGAGCATGAGCAAGAATTAAGCACTTCAGTGCTAATTCTCTAATGTCTGTATATCTGTATATGGTCCCGTTTATATGCTATCTTCAGTATCTGGATGATTTGAGCAATGCAATGAGAACATGGGAGGGCCAGGTCACTGCCTGTTTACCTACCCCTTAGCCTGAGAGTCAGGATTTAGTTGTCCCATGCCCCTCTGAGGCCTTGACCAAGAGGTTGAATCTTGGGCACCATTTGAGCCACATATGTACAGACTACTAGTAGTAGTGATCAAAACTACAAACTTCAAAGACATTGATTTAATTAACAAAGATAATGACCATGCCTGACACTCATAGGGGGGGCAGGGTCTGTATTTTTGTAGACTCTGGCCTTCTATGACCTAGCTGGAGTCCTGAACTATGGTTTTTAGTCACCCAGCCATGATCACTTGTCATAACTATATAATTAGTGAATATGGGGTTGATATGCCCCTCCTGATGGCTCAATTCTGATGCTTGGTAGCATATTATATAGTGCATAATACAAGAGCAAGTAGAACAGATAAAGGCTATGGCTTGAGCCGCTTGAAGCCGGCTCGTGAGCCGGAGCCGAGCCGCCTCTTGGCTAATGAGCCATTGAGCCGTTTCAACGGCTCGGCTCAAGGTGGCTCAGCTAAAGCCGGCTCAGAGAGCCAGCTTTGAGCCGCGCCGTTGCAACACTATTTCATATGGACCGTTGAAATTCGATTAATTTATTCCCCATCCCATCATTCAAACACCCACAATTCCTCGGATGTTCCCCATCGGTTTATCAGTCGCTTCATTACTACTCGTTACCAGTTAGGTTAATGCAGTCCAGACATAACTAATTCCGATTTGGTGTAGTGGCTAACATTCTCGCCTCTGGTGTTTTCAGGTGTGCGATAGCTTGGGTTCGATTCCCCGCGTCGGAATAATGCACCAACTCGTGCAGTTGCTTTGAACGTATCTTTTATGGTTTTGGTCTTGCTGATTTTTACATCATTGGATGGAGAGGACTCAAAGAGTAACTAAGTGCACTACCAGTATCATCAAGGACATCGCTGCTAGTGAATTGTTGATACATGTTCATCTGTAATTAAGAATACGTTTAGAGCTTAGAGGGCATTATCTCCTCAAACCCAAATAGACTCAAACCAGTAGTTGGTATTCCTTTGGTCACTTTGTCAATTAACGCTTGGGGCATGTCCTTGTTGGAATGATTCACATTACCTCTCTGAGGCAGGGACTTGTTCGAGTCTAAAACACAAGCGAGCGACTCCCCAAATCAAGCTCAAGTTCTGGCAAATGTGAGTCCCATGGTGGAGGATGTGCTGCGTAAATTATCATCACCATCGCCGGCACCCTTCACACTGAGTTTATCAGTTTGCACAGACATCTCATTCACCGATGGCATGCCAATATAGTAAGGATAGAACTCATATACCGCTGGTAGTCATACACGTATACTTCCGATATGCTGTAGTGGCTTACATCCTCTCATAGTAGATACCACGCGATAGCCTGGGGTTCTATTCCCCGTGTCGGAATAAGTCTGTTCTATAACTTCTATTACATCCATTCACAATTTTTTTATACATAACGCTTTGGCCTTCAAGCCACTAAGTTTACTTCAATATAGACACTAAGGCAGTTAAATTTGAGGCTTATTTGCGATGGCATCCTGCGATTAAAACTCCCCACCATAAAATAACAGTTCCAAACTCGGTTCAGCCTTGAAGACAGCCACTTTGTTCTCAGTGAACAACAAGATAGAGGAGAGGAGAGTATAGTACGCCCCCGCCTCATATATATCTATATGTATGCATATATGCATGTTTACAATTAGGAGAAAGACAGATTAAAGATAAAATTATGGTAAGGAATGAAAAAAACAGTACTAGCCGCCAGGCTACCAGTGACCGAGCTGCACCTTTGTGCGGTCAAAACCAATTCCTGACCATCGCTCCACTCCTTCGACGGAATGTTCAGGTTCATCTAGGCCAACAAAGCCTACGTTATGGTAAACCTTCCTGGCAGAAATATTATCATGAGCAACATAGAGTGCTATGCTCTGCTTCCCTTCCTCATAAAGCATGTGCTTGCACACTTGCCGAACAAGTCTTTGTGCGCAACCTAGGCCGCGGTGACTGTCAGAAGTCACAACTTTGGTGATGGTGGAATTAATTCGTGTATTTCGGGTGAACGCTACTATACATGTAATCTCCGAACTTGACCCACTCCCCACAGCTGGACCGGAACGATTGGAGTCACCAAGGAAGTACTCGTGCACCCAAACTTGCTTATTGGATATGAGCGCTTCAGCTTCCTTCACCGCTCCATTCCAGCACAACAGGAAAGGCTCAGATAGTTGCGAAAATTCCAAGCAGAGTTTTGCAACAGCCTCTAGGTCTGACAAAATAGCAGGCCGGAGCTGGTAGCGTGATCCATCTTGCATAATCGGCTCTGGGCGATTATTGAAGGATCTCTGAGTGCAGAACACTAAGCTCGCTGCATAGTAAGGGTCTGGGTAGTGCGAAATCTGAGTCGATTCAGACCAGATACGAGCGAAAAGTTCGGCCACAGGCTCAGGAGCAAAGACACTGTAGACTCGTGAGGGAGAAAAATGTCCCAGTATGGCGGGAATTAGCATGTGCAAGCGGGGAGTAAGCAATTTCTGCGGTAGAAGGGACAAGGAGACTGTGGGGACGATGAATAAGGGATAGTCCCCGAGCGCATTTTTAGAAAAAGCTAAGACTAGCTCGACAGCGTGGTGTGTTGAACCAGAGTTGGACCCAGCGGCAGAAACACAGGCGACCCACAGCCGCCGACCGCCCAGAGCACCACCGGTGCTCCCCCCGTGCAGAAAAGCTCCCCCAGCCAAAGGGAGCACAACGTTGCTCCGTACTGGATTCCGCCGGAGAGCTTCCCAGACATACTCCGGTATACTGGTGGCAAGATTATAGGTGTTGATCTCGAAGTCAGAATCGTTGTGTAGGGAAGTCCCATCTTCGCCACTTCCATATTTTACTTCAGTTTCCTTCTCTCGGAGAGGTTTGGCGAGGTTATATGTGGGGATCTCACGGTCCGAACTGTGTAGGGGGGAGTCCGCACCAATCACTGCAGGAGAATTTTTAAAATCATTATCGGTGATATCGGTGAGATCATTGATCTCGAGATCCGGATCGTTGCGTAAGCGGGAGTCCACTACATCGAGATTGTTTTGATGAAGTTCCGTATGATCTGTCGGACTATAAGTATCGTATACATGAGCAATGAGATGATCATGATTCACCAGCGAGACCCTTATAGGATGAATCCAGTTTATCTTCTGTTGTAGTGGTCGAGATGTTAGGCCCAGACTGTTTCTCGCCGTGCTGGCCAATGTTTACCTCGGGGGTTAAACTGCGCGGTACCACCGAACAATGTGCCTCTTGTAGATATCGGTGGGATATTACCCCGCCGTTACCATTGACATGGCGAATCAGCTCCTCAGCTTGAGGCATTTTCTCGTCATCCTGATAACAAAAACATGAGGATAACTGCCACTAATGAGCCTCAAAAGAGTATTTACATCGTGAATCACAGAGGTCCAGACGTCATCATGAGTTATGGCGACATCAATTTTATCGTTCGTTCGTAGTAGCCATTGGTTGATAACATCTGAAGGGTGATATATCTTATGGGATGCATATTTAGCAGGTGGAGAAATATATAGAGGGTACACATGACCTACCTCAAGCTTCGGCGGACGCGTAACATCCGGGTCATTGTCATTGGATTTGTTTCGCTTTGGGGATAGATTTGGCTGAAGTGGCCTTCGCCATTGCGTAGACATCGACATCGATAGCCATCCTGCTGTAGGTTTTGAAAGTAGATCATCGGCATCCAGGTCAGATATGTAAGTTATTTCGGAGGTCGTTCGAAATAGGAATGACTCTCGAATAGCAATTCTGAGGCCTCGTAGGAACACGCATCCAGACTGATTACCGTAGGTATTGTCAGCGCCGCTCGATGACTCTGCAGAGTCACATTTACGGAACCAATATTCGAGCATGCTACCTCCTTGGGTCCATCTGGGTACAAAATCCATCGACACACTTCCCTCCTCAGCACCATCAAAGGACGAGACTCCCCAAGCTCGTGCTTTATCATATCCTGTAATAAGATAAAGCGAGCATGCTTCACGCCCAACCCATTAATGACATGGTCATACCAAGACTTTGCATTCTCTGCAGCATACAATTCAAACTTTCTACGTTGCAGGTGGTCCACCCTTTTCCCCCTTCGGGTAGAATGAGTAAAGCGCCTTTGCTAGCGGTCGAATGAAAAGATAATCCCGCACCAACTTCCTGGGTGCTCCTCTGAAAACTTGCTTTGAGTACGACAAAAGTGGAAAAAATACAGAAGGATGCACGTACGGAATACAAGGATCTCGGAAAGAATATGGTTTAATTCCGCTTAGATGGATGTTATTCGGATTGCTGGCAACATAAGAGCCAGGTCTGTACTCTTGTGAATACACTTCAGTCTGTGTATAATCGAGATCTCGTATAGGTTCGAAGTTTTCAGGAACTCGTCCTTCATTCAATGAATGACCTGCATCGTGGCATACATTGAAGAGATAATCAAAACCCCCGACCTCGGTGAGGATTCCGATATCTCCAATTTGAGGGCCTTCTCGTTGGTGTATCTCTGGCAAGGTTGACTGACTCAATTTTGGCCTCCACAACGGATACCCTTTCCTTCTTAATAGCATGTTCCGTACATAAATTTGGCTTTCGACCCAACTTGATGATGTGGGATTTGCCAAAATCTGAGACCTGCCATGAAGGGTTGTGGTCGGTGTTGGGGTTGTCCGTGGAGAAGGAGCCAGTGAGTCGATGCAGGAGTTGAAAACAGAGTTAGTTATGCTGAACCCAGATGCGTAAGGAAAAATCCTGTTTAAGTACTTTAGTAACTAGTAGCTAGTAGGAGTAAATCCCAGACTTACTGAGAAGCAGGCAGAAGTGGGGTAGCTATTTTAGGCATTGAGAACGAGATGCTAAACTTGATGCGTTATAAATTTCCTCTTTCCTTTTTACCATACCAGCAGACGCCCGAGTTCCAGTCTAAATGCATGTGTTCATGTCAGCCTGTTCTTTTGCCCTCGTTTGCTGTTCAATGCGTTGTGTATGAAGACTAGGAGATCTTGAACGAAAAATCAAGCCACCCACGTATATTGATGAAAGAGTGAACGTCTGAATTGTGTATGTATGACTCCGATGAGAGACCTTTTGAGTTTTTGATATGATATTTCAGTATGTAATCCCGTAGCACGGTTACGTTCAGGTTTCAGTTTTGAGTAGTTAGCTTATTATCACCATAGTTCATCAATGAAAAGAACAAGATTGAGATCGTATTTCACAACTTCTACATAAGTTGGTTCAGAGTTGCCAAATAACGCTTTGACAGGAAGGCATCCGATCGACGGCAGCTGCCCAAAATTATCTGGGAAGGAGCTGGAAGGAGTGGAGATAGTACCGATCGATCACATTTCTGTCTATCACATCAAAAAACAAGTTATTATACGAGAATTGCCAACAACCTTGAAGGCTTTAGAAACCTCGACGTCGGAGGTAATTTATTTCAGCAGCGCTTACTCCGACTATGTCGGGACGAGCCGTGCCAAGCCTGCCAAAAGCTAGGCTCTGTGCCGGCTTTGTTGTAAAACCGTGAGGGGTCTTTTGAGGACAGGATGCCTTTGGAGAGAATCTATTGTTGTCCTAGTAGTGTTGCCATGAGGTTTTCGATCCTAGTAACAACATTTTTTGCGACTGCAACTCATCACAAATGGTAGAATAAATCTACTGCGCACTACCTATGGTTGAGTCAATAGTCAAAGCGAGAAGTAACTGTGAGAATAGACCCTAATCAGGCAATAATCAGGGAAATGTAGCGCCAGAATGATTTGAAATTCAAATTTGAGATAAATATCAAGATAAAATTAGACATATTAGAAAATAAAAGCGCACTCGGTCAGAAAACATGGCCGACTACAGCCGACTACTTATCTCTACTAGCACCACACTTATTGTTCTACTTCAGCCTGACCGAAGTAGACAGCGAAGAATCTCCCTTCATCGATAGCTGGAAAGGATATGCATTTAAAGATTGGCCAATTAATTATAAAACCCAGGTATCATCGGTACCGAACCATGAAAGAAGGGATCTCGCTTTGTCTGCGAATGTTACGATTTCCCACCCTACTTCAGTCAGGCTGAAGTAGAACAATAAGTGTGGTGGTCCATAGCTGTCCATAGCAAGGGTATGGGCTCTAGAGCGCTCTGTAGCACTCAGGGCTGCTATGGCTCTCTGGAGCGCTCCAGAGCACTGCATAGCAGTCATAGTTCATCCCAGGTTTTGCAGATTAGTAATGATATCATTCTAGACTAAGCTATTAGTCTGCGAGACGCCACAGCATGTGTTCAGGCAGGTTCAGGCCTCACCATGGCAATCAGATGGCAATTAAACAGCGCTCCAAGGATGGCACTTCCTTGATAGCATCGCTCATCACTTTCTCCTCCACCGACAGGGGAGTTTTTCGGACACAGAGGCTTACGTTTACCTACATAGGTTCACTTTCGACTGGATACATGTCATTCTGGCAGCTAAGTACTTTCACGAGGTAACTGTATAACGGAGAAGGTTCACTGAGAGCGGGTCAGAAGAAGGGGAGGGGGGGGATGGCAGCTCAGAGAGTCAGCGAGAGTAGTTTAAGCATATATACAACCATGCATTTCTGTCTCTTTTTCCCGTGGCGCACTACGGTCGACCTTTTGCGTGTCGAGCTCTTGGCTGTGGGGCCGGCTGTTTTCTTGTGGGACCCCGCCTTGTGGCGGAGCCGAGGATAAATCTATCTTTCTATTTATCTCTAGTCGCCAATTTTTTATCGCCGTTTTCGCGCTTCCCAACTAAGTCTACCCAGCATCAACGAATGAGTTTATCGTTTCTAGCCGGTGGCACCAGCGACTCGGAGACTGGAGTTCCGAGAGATACATTGAACTCAACTCGAGCTGATATTTCACAGGCACAATCTTCACATGCTCTTTTCTTCATGAGCTCGAGAATTCGAAATACTACAGTGACAGTGGCTTCCTGGAGATCTTACTAGACGATATACTTGTCAGATTTTGTTCGGGTATGAGAACTACTCCACAAACGGCCCCTGTTATTGAGCTAGGAGGTTAGTGTTTGAGTAGGTTTGAGTATTGAACGCGTCGTCTTATTCCCGGATCGAGACCAAAGTGTCCCCCAGCCCCCAGCCCTAGCCCTAACGAGTGTACTAATTTTGCCGCTATAGCATAGCAGTAACACAGACACCCAGTACCACCCATATTGATTCGCCTCTATATCCTAATGCCAGTTTAGTTCTCTGCCGACACGGTTTATTCCACCAGCTTAAAAAATGATGGTTGCGGCGAATGCTCACCGATAGGAGTGGAGACTGACGCTCAAATTATGTTTGACTGTACACACACAAACTCGCTCCGAGATATCTATTACAAGTTTCCCCCTATGTACCCGCTCGTTATCATTCTCCTGGCAACAGTGTGTCACGGTCTTTGTGGTCGGCGGGCGGGTCTTCGCACAATTGTTGTCAAATCAGTCACCTACCAAGACCTCGCATCTCCATGGTTCAACTCTGAACGTTGTACCGATATGCTGCTCCCCCGTTTTTTAACTCACCTTTTGGACACGTTTTCCTGCCACCAAAGGCGCATCAAGCTTAGGCGTCGACTTGGATGACTTAAATCAAGAAAGAAGTAAAGGAATTTTGGAAAGGAGTATATGCTAAGAGGGCACAATAGAGAAGAATAATTTTGGCTAGTCAACATTGGCTTAAGTTTGGGGCTGGTAGGTTATGGAAACGACTTTAGTATTGGAGCGCATTTATTTCAGCCACCCATCCTCGCACACCAAAATTTCCACCAGTCTACCATTATGCTAACGAATCCGATATGGTGTAGTGGCTAACATTATCGCCTCTCATGGTCAATTCTTGGAACGTACGCGATAGCCCGGGGTTTGATTCCCCGTGTCGGAATACACCTATCACTTTGGTTTTTTTCTATGGTCAATTCCGATTGTAACCAGCCTGGGGTTTACCCAACTTCACAATCACTACGTCTTTTTGACAAAGGTGTCGGCGAGTGAATCACCGGTTGATTAAAGCGTGCCCTACTAGTAAGTATGTACATCGCACACAAACATTATATTATTACAAGTGCTATTGATACAATGTTCATACAACCCGTAAGCACTTGACGGAGAGAGAGGTAAAGAAACCCAAGTCCATGGTAGTGTACATAAACAAGTTCATCAGTTTTAGAGGGCATGACGACCGCGGACCCGACCGAGCGACTCCAGTCGCTTCCCGAATCCGGTTCCGGTGAATGTGAATCCGCTGGCTGAGGTAGTTGAAGAGGCCGTGGCGGAGGTAGAGGTAGAGGATGAGGTAGCTGCTGCAGCGGGGGTGAGGGCAATCGTACTGGCAGTCGTGCTGGCAGTTGTGGAGGAGGAAGTTGTGGAGGAAGTTGTGGAGGAAGTTGTGGAGGAAGCAGAGCTGGAAGACGTGGTTGACGCTGAACTGGAGCTAGTGGCAGTCGTAGTCGCAGATCCAGTGGAAAGTACGGCGGTAACAGTACCCGTGGGTTCAATAACCAAGAACATCGTGGATGTCACGGTCACGGTTACAGCACCGCTGGTTGCGCTAGTGAGGTCGGAGGCGGAAGTCGTAGTCGTGGCTGAAGCAGTAGAGCTTGCAGCGGAAACAGAGGAGGATGAGACTGTGCTGGAAGTTGAAGCTCCGGAGGAAGCGCTCGAGGCGGAGGTAGTGCTAGCAGATGTAGTGGCTGATGCAGCAGAGGCAACTGACGCTGGAGAAGATTCACCAACCAAAGGCCCTGAGAGGATCTGTCGGCGGCGGAGAGCAGGAGCGACGGGTGCAGGTGTAGCGGCACTGGGTGGGACAAAAGCATCTAAGATTTGTGGGCGCAAGAGCGACGGAACGAAGGTGGCACTAGCTTCTGCTGCCTGCGATGATAAAAAGCTGGCGACCTGTTCTGGTGTCAAAAATCCGGGGTCGCCGGCCTGACCGAGGGTGATGGTAGCATCACTCGCTTCCGGTGGGTCTGATGAGGAAATTGCACTAGCCAATGCTGGGTCGAGAAGAATCTGTCTGCGGCGGACATCAGGAGCGACTGGGGCAGGTGTAGCGGCACTGGGCGGAACAAAAGCATCTAAGATCTGTGGGCGCAAGAGGGACGGAACAAAGGTGGCACTAGCTTCTGCTGCCTGCGATGATAAAAAGCTGGCGACCTGGTCTGGTGTCAAAAAGCCAGGGTCGCCGGCCTGACCGAGGGTGATGGTAGCATCCTGTCTGCGGCGGAGAGCAGAAGCTGTCGGGGCAGGTGCAACGGTACTGACACTTTGTGAATTAAAAGTAAACAAGTTTGGACCCGCGGAGGTAGCAACTTCGTCTGCATTAGCCGAGGAAGCAGCAGCCGATGCTGAAAGCGACGAGAAAATGCTCTCGATCTGGTCTGGTGTCAAGAATCCAGATAGGGTCTCGCCCGGAAAGTCGAGAGTGATGGTGGTAGTGGACGAATCAGCATCTCCTTGCGCTGAGGCGACTGGAGAGGGAGTTATGCGGGAGGCCGAACCAACTGTAGCGGTTCCTGAAGAAGCTGTGGCGACGGGGACCACAACTGTGCCGGTTCCGAGAGCCACTGATGCGGCTACAGGCGAGCTTTCAGCAGCGTTTCTGGTGTCGTCACCACAATGCGAAGTAGAATCTGTCGTATTGCCTGAGGTTACCGCTGCGTTGGTCGTCGAATTCGTTGTGGCATTGGTACCAGCACCAGAGCCGTCGATGCCTCCAGGAACACCTACAGCTGCCATGCGAGCCACTACATCAGCCTCCGTATCGCAGGAGAGTGATGTGCCGTTGCTGTTGAGAAGTGGAAGGGCAAAGCAGGAGAGTCCTTGCGAGCATTGCGTCAGTGAAAACTTGGAATCGATGCATTGTGCGAACGCGCCGTTGACGCAGGCATCTTCACCCGCTACACAAGAAAAACAAGTCAGCCCGATAACATCAATTCGAAGAAAGAATATAAACGCACTGGTACACGAAGAATTCGCGTTCAAAGCAGCAAATGCCTTGTTCTGAGCCTGAGCAGTCAAAACGTTTTGTTTCTGCACTTCCGCAGAAGCAGCTCGACGGTGAATGGCAAAGAAATTGTCAGAGTGGCCGGGTCTGCTGAGTAGCGCTGGAGCAGCAATCGTAGAAGCCACTAGGGCGATGGTAACGGAAAGCTGAGAGATCATTGTCGTTTATGTCGTGTAAGGAGTGAGGTTTCGAGCTTCAATGTCGTCAAGCACCGGGCTTCAGAAAGTCTATGTCTTGCGTTGCAAGAAAGTAAGAAGAGAAAAGAAAAGAAGAGAGAAAGTCGTAATCAGCGAGAGGCTGGGATTTGAGTATGTTGGCCATTCGCCTGTCTGTTTTATAGCAGCCCATTGTGCAAAGAACAATAGTGTCAACGACTTATTGTTGAAGCAAGATTAGAGAACAAAAGGGATTTTGAAGGCGCCCATCAAGTTCCCACGGAGTGTATTAGAGCGGTCATACTTTTTCGGCGTCTAGACAAATCACAAAAACGCGAAGGCTCTACTTTGACTTGACCTTCGTACACCTTGTCAAAATCCTCAAACAAAACGGCAAAGAGCAGGCACCAACTTTTTACAGAGCCAGAAATGCATGAACGCATCGGGCCTCCGAGGATATAGTAATAAACTGGAAGCTGGCACATCGACGCCTTTCAAGTTTTGTTCAAATTCAAGAACCCAAGGTCCAACACCTGTCTCTACAGGCACCGATGTTTTTGAGCATCTTTGGGATCCTGGCTAGTCGCAATAGGAGACAATTAATTGTACAGCTGCACCGTTCCCGGGAAAATGGCAGGGATGCATATGCACTGGCAAACGTGAGTAGTATCAAAGCGTTGAACAATAACGGTAGCTAGGTTAGAATGTAAGTGGTTTCCATAACAAGAGAAATAAGTAGAGCCATAGGTTCCGAGCGAGTCGCGTATGCGTACTGAAAGTCTGTACTTGAACTTAGACTTCAGTACTAGATTCAGTCTGAGTCTTCCTCGGAGTCTGATGTTCCGGGACCACTGTCGTTGTCACTATCTCCGTCCGAATCCACTTCATCTCCCTCCGAGTCCGAGTCGCCCTCAGAATCCACCTCACTGGAGGTCTCATTCTCCGAATTTGCCCCGTCGCTGGTCCCTTCGTCTGATTCCGCTTCGTCCCCTGAACTCGTGACTTTGCTCTTCGGCCCACCCTCTGACTCTGCTTCGTCCCCTGAACTCGCGGCTTTGCTTTTGGTCCCCTCTGAACCCGCGTCACTCTTGGCCTCATCATCCGAATCCATTCCATTGCTGGGCTCCGTTTTCTTCCCGGTCCCTTTGTCCGAATCCATTTTATCCCTCATGCCCTTGTCTGAACCCTTTTTCTTTCCCGTCTGCTTGCCTGAGCCCTTCTTCTTCCCCGTTCCTTTGCCTAAACCCTTTTTCTTCCTCGTCCCCTTGCCTGAACCCTTTTTCTTCCCCGGCCCCTTGCCTGAACCCTTTTTCTTCCCCACACCCTTGTTTGAATCTGAATCCGTGTCGTCCCCTGAACCCTCCTCACTGCTGCTCCGCATCTCCCAATCCACATCATCGCTGCTTTCGTCCGAATCTACTTCGCTTCTAGATGACCTCACTACTCAATAACTGTTCAATTATGGCGGTCAAGTTGTACAGCTCACCTGCATCGATGCCTCCGACATTTTTTCTTTCCGTTGTCTTCGCAATCGCACGTCACGGTGATCGTGACTCCATCCCACTCGTAGGTCGTTGTCATACGGTAGTGCTCTGGATAGCTGAGGTAGATGGAAAGACGGAGAGAGATGCAGAATGCAAAAACAATCGGATAAGAACTAGCGCTAGTTGTTTAGTGCCTTAAACACGTTGAACACACGTTGAATAGGAATCGAAGACAATGCTGTCGTACTGCCACTAGTACTGGCGCTCGTTCTATATCATTTTGCAGTGCGTCCCTATCGATGGAAACTTGGTTGAAAGTGCCTTAGGCATTACACGTTACAGGTTTTCTTTCTAAACACGACCTGGTAGTAGTCGTTTCTTTTCAACCCTTAGTTATTGCTTCAAGGACGATCATTGGACGTGTTGAATCCAGGTCAAGGAGCCTACGAAACCACTACGAAAATACAAGCTAAATCTTACAAACATGACTCTCAAACCCCGCTTTTACCCCACAAGTAGGTGCTTGAAGACACTTCCTCCAACCTCTCCTCCCATTCATGGGTCTCGTAAAGATGCTTTATAACACTGTAAAACTCCTTGTAAAAATACCGCCAATCTCCAGTAGGCACTGTCAACACCACAACTCCACTCGCTATAAAAGGACCGTGTTGTAGGAAACTACGGAACGTGATACTAGCATCAAACTTCAACGTACTGTATTTGGTTCGAAGGCCCACTGTAGGATATCTCTTGTAATATTTTCTCCAAGAGGGGCCTGATGTTAACCGGGGATCGCAACGTAAGCGAAACACCACCACATTTCCTATCGGGAGCGGGGGATAAGAATCACGCTTAGTATCCTTGAGCTGGGGTAGTCCCTCAATCCAATCTTTTGCACGCGGACTCAGTGTTTCCCATGCCTTCCTATATCGCATTTTTGCGTTGTCTCTTATTTCTATGCTGGCTTGTGTTTCGTTACACTCACTGCCAACGATCACGACTTTGGGGCGGGAAACATAGCCAGGATAGAAAATCTCTTCTATCCATTTGCTCCCGCATATGCTATTTATGTCTCCATCCGATGCGTGTGCAATCGACATAGCATTCAAAGCGCTCTCCTTCATCCTTGACTCCAGCATGATTGCTTCTTGTCGCGCAACGGCAGACTCGGCATCGTCTGGTGTGCTGGCTGGACGATTCCGGAGAACACTATTCAGAATCTGAATACGCTCATACA